CAGATGCTAGAAAATGTAGCATCATATCGCCATGAAAACAGTTTTGATCAGTTTCAAACGAAATTGCCTAGGCTTCAAAGTTTCAGTCAGCCTATGGCTATCTCTTGAAGAAAGGTCCTTTTCTCCTAGGATGGGAAGCAGATTCCCTAGTAAGTGGAAAAACTTTCACAGAGAATGAAGCAAAATTCCACTGAGAGGAGGACATTTGGTGAAATGAATAAATCTGTCTAAAACTCCATCCATGTGCAGTTACACACCATCTTGTTATTGGCCTCACAGTTGTAAAGGGAATTTTTTAATCATTAAATAAATAAAGTAGTGAGTAGTCCATTTAATGAGAACGGTGTGAGTGAAAGAGAGAGAGATCCTCTGTGACCTGTGTTTCTCTTTCATGTTCACTCAGTCAGGCAGTCACTAGCTTCTCTCAAGGTGGAGCAACATGAGTGATATTTTCCTCATTGTCAAGATATGAAGACAAATATGAGATCTGAGGACAACCTGCTCCAGACGGACAGTGCCGATCTGGGTTTCAGTGACATCTTTGCTACTTGGTAACTTCTGTGATCTTTCAAAAGACATCAAGACATTAAGCTGGTGGAATATATATCTGACTTCTAACATGGTCATGGTGCTGATGTTTATGACACAAGGTTACACTTGGGATTGAATGGTAACACATCTAAGCACCGTGACTCAGATGCAGGATCTGAATTCTTGGTAGTAATTGTGCAGCTAGTGATCCTGGAAAGGTGATGGTTTTACACCTATATCTGAATCTATACAGTAAAATTGAAATTAATCTATGGTATCCGCTTAGGATTCATTTGGTTTGTTGCAGGGAAGAACAAATTCTCCAACTGAAATTATATAATATTACCAATATCACATGGCCATAAATCACTAACTTATACATGTAGAGCAACAACATATTTATTTTATTCTCATTATAGCCCTGTGTTCAAGGGCATTTCCTAAATACTTTTACTGTTTCCTTTCAGATGCAGTCTGAAAAACTGGTGCTAGTTTAGCATTTTATATTTAAATCAGTCACTTTCTGTTAGGAAGCCAATCCCCACAGGAGCTCATGAACTTGACAGTGGGGTCTTTGCCCCGGAAACGCTCTGGGCTAACTTTGTGACCCTGGGGGAGGACAATGTGCTCCTGTTTCCATCACAGCCCAGGGTCAGAGGCAATCAGAACTCAGCATCAAACACAAGTTATGTGGTCCAGGATTCTTTCACCATAGTCAATGGAATGAGGGCAATTTACTCTTTCAAGTCTACATTTCCATCTAAAATAAACTTTCCCAGAGTGCAGATTCCAAAGTGCACCTCCCCTTGGTCTGCACATCAGAGAGCTGCCCCTGCCCTGCTCCAAGGGGGCCCAGGACCCTGGTCCTCCCACAC